CTGACAATCTCGATCACTGTGTCCCATGACACCACATGTGTAACAAAAGTTCGGCAGGAATTCATACTGAAAATGGCACCAAGACTTCTCCTCATCTTCCTTCCCCTTGCCCTTCTCCTTCACCTCCCGTAAGTTCATCCTTGGCAACGACAAGGACCGGATGGTGCAACGAATCCAGAGGCCAAAGTTCTCTAGTTACATTGGGATGCCGTTCACTTGCCGCCCGGGTCCCGACTCCCCCGGTGCTCCTCATCATGTCGGTCGGACATAAGTGAATAAATATTCGTAGTACATGTTTGTCCAGACGTGGTATGCCATCTTTGATATTGTTTCCTGGTAGTATTTGTGCATGCTAGAAGTAGCACGGACTTAATTTGGAGTGTTTTTATGTTTGTGTTTGCTGAACAATATGGTCATGCGTGAACCCCGAATTAAACAGCGTAATTAAACGAGAAGTGTTGCGATAGCAGTGGAATTACATTTTTACAGTAAGTTTAAGACTTGACTTCAAGTAAGCTACAAGCACGAGAACACTTCAACTAAGCTAGAAGCACTAGAACTACAGAAACTAAGACGCTGGTATGCTAGAAGCGCGAGAACTAGATGCTGGCACGAAGGAGAGTGATCCTTCATGCGAAAGGACACGCTAAACTCGAGCGGCCGGCGGCCGGCACCCGCAAACCACTGGCACGGCAGAGGCCTGCCTATGCGTCCTGCTTGTTGAGCCGCGCGGCCGCAGCCACGGACGCCGCTATCCCTCCCGGCCTCACCGTCTTGTCGTCCTTGTTTCGGGTCTCCGCCGAGGCCACCCTCGCCGCGTCGTCGGACTCCACCTCCTTGTCCGCAACCAGCTTCGCCGTCGCATTCCGCTCCTTGTGGGCAACCAGCTTCGCCGTCGCATTCTGCGTGCACGCAGGTCGACCATCAGGTTGACCATCGTCGTCAGTGACATCAAGGATTCAAGCATATGTGTACTGGTAGCGTCGATGTGCGGGACATACTACAGACATACCGAGAGCACTTCACCGAGCTTGGCCTTCTCCTCGTCGCGCGCGGCCCAGAGGTTGGCGTCGGCGGCCGACTGCGCCTGCGCGGCCAGATCCCCGGGGATATAGACGTCCTGCCCGGTGGCTCTCACTTTGGCCGCCTGGATGGCCGCCGCGTCGCTGTGCTCCACCGGCCTGTCTCCTGCAGCATAACCTGCCGCCTCCAGCGCCTCACCGATTGTCATCTTCGTATCGTCGCCAGCGGCTCCCCTAGCAGGGTCGGCACCATCCGGCGCGAGGTACTGGCTGACGACCTGCCCGGCGACGAACTCGGTGACGATGCGTCCGCCGGGGACGCGGGTCTCGGACACGGTGACGCCCTGCTCGGCTGTGGCGTCCGTGGCCTGGTCGTGGCCGACGACGCCCATGCGCTCGTTCCGCATGGCCGCGGACTGCATGGTGGCCGCCGGCCCGCCCTTGATCGTCTCCCCGAACACGAGGTTCTCCGCCGACTGCATCGTGGCCGCGTCCTGCGGCGCCACGGGCTTCTCCGCGAGGCCGCCGGTCACGGCCAGGAACACGTCGCCGTAGCGGACGGCGCCTCCTCCCTGTTCCTGGCTCTGCCCGCCGCCGTCCGCCTGGGCTTGGTCAGACGACGGCCTCCTCTGCTGCCCCTGGCTCATCTTAGCGAGAAGGCGTCTGGTTATCAGCCGCGTTGCCCCGAGCGTGATGGATCATGTGTGGTTATGGTGGTTATATACGGCGTGCGTGGGTGCTCATAGGGAGACAGGTGTGGGAGACGTGGAGGCGAAGCAGGGGAGGCGCGCGAGGAAGCGGCGGAGGATTAGACGGCACACGGCAGAGGCAACGTTGAGCGGCGCGCGCGTAGTCAGCAAAGCGGTGGCGCTTGTTCCGTTGTTCGTTTGCTCAGCGCGCAGCGTGTGTGTACAGTAATACTCCGTATATACTACCTCCGTCTAGATGAATAAGTCATTCGCGTAGTTCTAGGTCATCAATTTGAGGCATTAAATATGTGTTATATGTCATGAAAAATATATCATCAGATTTCTACGTGAATATAGTTTTTAAATATATATTTTTTGTTACATATAATACATATTTAGATAGTTAAATCATCGACCTAAAACTACGCGAATGACTTATTCACCGAAACAGAGGTAGTACTAAACTTAAACATGAAACACTTATTTTAGGACCAAGGAAGTACTCCAACGTAGTTATGTTAAAAAAAAGTACAATGTAATTATGGAACGGATCCACCCAGTATGCATAACGAATGTTTTCTCTAGAAGGAAAATGTATGTGCACATAGTGCTTTTGTTCCGAGTCACTTTGTCACAGACAATATCCTAATTGCACATGAGAGTGTCCATGCGATGAAGAGAAGAAAGAAGGGGGTAATGCAGTTTGTGCCAATAATTGCATACGATGAAAAGTGAATGATCGTGTCGAGTGACATTACCTTGAGTCGACCATGTTGAAGTTGGGTTTTAGTCTCGAGGACGACGCATGCTGCAGGGGGCGAGTAGCACCAGGGAGGAGCAACGGCTACACCAACAGGCTCGGGAGAATGCTCGGGCGGGTCCTTCACTCTGATATGTTGCTCTTGAGGCTCCCAATGCTAGCTGTCTTGTGGGCGCGGATGTGGAGGTCCGTTGTGCTCATTGATCACAGCGCGGTATATTGGAGACACGCTGCTTCGGCAGCTATCCCAGGTTGGCGGCCTCTAGCTTGCAATGGCTGGATTTGTCGTGTCCTTTTCGGCCCGATCTGGCGCTCCAGCGACCGAAGGCCTAGAGAAAACTCGGTCAGCGTCTGTGTTGCGAGCGGTTTGCGAGGTGACTCCCCGTCGAGATTGTGGTCTGCGGTTGTGATGGTCTAGGCAAGGCCTTTTGGTTTCCTGGGCTTGCATCGTCGGTGGTGCTCCGGCAAGATCTGTGCGATGCAACATGTGGTGTCTGTTATCTCTGAATCTGGCGGTGGTGTGTTGGGGGTGTCATCTCTGGCAAAGGTGCTTGGTTCTCCGAACAAAAGTCATGATGGACTTCGGTCGGGGCTAGTGGTGAACGATGCCTTCGGGTGTGATTTTCCTTGTTGAAGGCACCACCGAGGGGATCCGACACCTCTCCCGGGCTTGAGCTCTTGGCTCCCGGTGAAAATCGTGTATAATGGTGGCGCATATTGCATAATTATCTTTTATAATCATTCCTCTGGAGTCAAGTACTATGATGGTAACACCGGGTTAGTCGTGGTGTGGTTGATTAGGAGAGGACGTCGATTGGGTAAGCAGGAGGTGTTGGTGGTGCATTCATTTGAGACTTGATGCTTGGTCGACGAGGTGAGTTGCCTGACAGCCCCCCACAAGTTGACGAGTTACGAACGACATGTATTCGCTCTATCGGACATATTGTTCCTCTATGGTGTAGTCGAAATTTGGGGACATGCTTGTGGCAGCCCAGACTAATACGACGGTTTCGGTGTGCACTCTAATAGGGCAATCTCGCTCGAGTGCCTGACCAGGTGCGTTGTGGGGCGTTGGCCTTATGGCATCGTTGTATGTACTGTGATGCTTTAGGCCTAGGCTAGCTAGGCATTGTTGAGGCTTTCACTCGGTTTACCTCAAATATTCGAGTTGTCTATTTTCCTTTTCTTCCTTTTTGTCACTCGCTTTTATGCGGTGCCTTCCTCCTTTGAGGTGTTCTTCTAATATCCTTTTTAATCAGTGGATTTGGTAGTTCTTCTGCCAACATTAAAAAAATCATGATTTTAGAGTTAAAGGATGATTAAAATCGAACTACCAAATGTGTGTATATATTGCATATATCAAAGACAAATTGTTTTTTTAAGAGGTTAATCTCTTAGCCAAGAAAAGCAACCCTTATTTTTTTGTTTTTCTCTCTTTAAACTCATCTGTTAGTTTATGTGACATCATTAAGATAGCGAGTGTATAATCATCTGGCATTTGTTTTTCATTTTGGTTCAAGTCGTACATTTTTTCCAATGTCCCATTGACACGTGCATTTGTTTCTGTTTGTTTTGTTCGTAAAAAGTTAATCTGATGTCATTTGGCCTTCAGGTTAAATTCCATTTGGCCTCTGTCTTTAGCCCCCACCCCTGCTAGGTTTTCCGAACGTTCAACCCGCCCTATAGGGCCGGATTGCAACCCACTACCCAACCCCTAACCAGACTACATAAGAAGAAAAATGATGTCAACATTACCCACAACTGACCAAGATAAAACGTATCAAAGCAAAATAACTTAAACAACATACTAAAATGGACAATGAAAGTTTGAATGTTAATATAGAACTCAAAATCCAAATAATAACTCAGGAATGACTCACAATGACAAGTGTACTGAAGCAGGAAATACTGCCAGTAAAAAATGTGCAAAGAAAAACAGTGACCATGCCAAAACTTACCTTGGCCTATAAAGAAACATGCTTCCTCTCACTTCAGTGTGGTGAAATATATGCCAGTGTCACTCTACTCATGGTCATCCTCCCCACACTACCTGCAGAACTATAAAATGATGACAAAATTAGGATAGTCACATAGGCACTCGTATGTACTAGCAGTTTGAACTATGATATGCGCAATAACACTTAGAAAACATAGGAGCTGTGAAAAGGAAATGATAAATACAAAATATGAGCTTGCATGAAACATAAAATGTGCTTTATTGTAGGTTCCAGGTTCCACATTAAAAGAGCAACAAGCGGGCACACACCGAAAAGATAGAAAGAAGATAGGAGGGTTGCACATAAAAATAGAGAGGCGACTTTCTAAACCAACTAATGATTGATCCAAAAAAAACTCAACACACTCCCTTAATGAGCTAGATCCATTTCTCAAAGAGCGTTGAGGACTACTATCATCTCCGAGTCGTCGCATATGCAAAAGCCTGAACTTGTTTGTTCTAAAAGTGCATAAGTCTCAATATATATAGGTTTGAGGAGAGGAGGGGCTGCCAAGAGGAGGGGAAGGACTCCCCTCCCCTTGCACCGGCCAAAGGGGGAAGGACTCCTCCTTCCCCACCCCAATTCGGCCTCCCACTAAGGGAAAGGGGGCGCCATCCCCAGTTGGGCCTATGTGGCCCAACTCTCCTTCCACCTCTTGGCCTTTTAAGGCACGTTGACATTAAATTAAATATAAAATCCTTCTAAAAATTATTAGAGCCTTTTATTATTAGTTTAACATCATCAAAAATATTTTCACCTATATATTATTTATAAGGAATATCTGTCAGGGAAAATATCATACAGAAACCAACATTCTGTGGAAACCGGTGAAAACCACGAGAAAAAAATGTTTTGAAGTTTCAAAAAAATCTGAAAAAAATACGGGATATTAAGAGGATGATGTTTTATTGCCACACAAAATTTCAAATTGAAATACATTACGAGATGCGAGCTATGAAAAAGATAAAATCAATGTTGAATAGTGTCAAATAGTAATGTCACTATTCAGGGCTGAATCTGTCTTTTTCATAGCTCATGTCCCGTAATGTGTTTCAACTTGAAATTTTACGTGACGATAAAACATCACCCTCTTAACATCCTGCATTTTTTTTCCAGATTTTTCCGAAATATGGTTTCCTCAAAGTTTTCAATGAATATTGGTTTTCTTATGATATTCTCCCTATCCGATATTGCCTGATAAACTTCGAAACCTTTGCGGTGACCCCAGAAAGCTTTCGGTTCCTCTCGAAACTATTTCGAATATTCATGAAACAATTTCAAAAATATATTCTCATTATTCCTGTCCTACTAACACTTGGCAGATCATGATTACCTTAAACTTGTGACCCTGTAGGTTCGGTAAAACATAGACATGAACGGAACCCCTTGTTCAATGACCAATAGCGGAACCGTGGATGTCCATATCGATCCCTATGAATACATGAATGACTTTCGAGTGAACCTTTGGTTATCATGTCATGTTCATTTTTCTTCACGATACTTCACAACAACCTTAGATGTATCAGTATCCTTTTGAGTCATATACATGTTCACTATATCGTTATCCTCGTTACTGGTTTTGTTCTTCTTTCTTGTTGAAGTGTTTCGGCATTCCCGTGACATAGTCACCTGTATCTGGCCAGACAATGATGGATGCATTCACACCGAGAGGGCCCTAAAAATATCTCTCCATTGTCGGGGGAGCAAATCTCACTCTTGAGTTATGTACTCCTTTATCAAACTTTTCGATGAACCTGTAAGTTGTCATTATGATCACTGTGTTACAGATGGCGTTTGAGCAACCCCAAAGTTCAATGCACGGTAAGAAGCGACTGAGATAATCATGGTCTAAGTAACTGAATCACATGCTTAACTCTTCATGTTATAACAACTGATTGTTACACTTAACAATATCCTAAGATCCAAAATTTGATCACTAATAACACTTAAGCCAGTCTTAGAGGCAAGATCGGTCATGGGAGTTTTCGTCAGAAATTTCGGCAGCATAACGCGTTGGGAACAAACACGTCCACGACGACAATACATTAGCTACCAATTTTTCTTGCTATAAAGGATGGATTAATACATGAGTGAAAATAAAATTCTACATGACACCAACAATTCACTTCTTTGAATAATCTTTACTCATAGACATGCAGGCTAGCAGCAATACTAAAACATTCCGATCAAGCGGAAGAATGAATAAGGCATGAAAATTTCTGAAATTTTTGAGCCACAAATAAAAGGTGAATAAAGGGGGGCCAAGTGGTGAAAGAGAGGAGGCAGCGCGCGGCCCCCCTAGCCCAAACCGAATTAAACTAGGAGGCCGGCCCCCCTTTCCTTCTTTTCCTCCTTCTCCTCCTTCCTTTCCTCCTCCTAGTAGGAGTAGGAAAGGGAAGTCCTACTCCTACTAGGAGGAGTAGGAGTTCTCCTTCTGGCGCGCCCATAGAGGGCCGGCCGGCCTCCCCTTTGCTCCTTTATATACAGGGGCAGGGGGCACCTCTAGACACACAAGTTGATCAGTTGATCTCTCCCAGTCGTGTGCGGTGCCCCCTCCATCATATTCCATCTCGGTCATATCATAGCGGTGCTTAGACGAAACCCTGCGTTGGTAGCAACATCATCACCGTCACCACGCCGTCGTGCTGACGGAACTCTCCGGTGAAGCTCTGCTGGATCGGAGTTCGCGGGACATCATCGAGCTGAACGTGTGCTGAACTCGGAGATGACATGCGTTCGGTACTTGGATCGGTCGAATCATGAAGACGTACGACTACATCAACCGCGTTATGCTAAAGCTTCCGCTTTCGGTCTACGAGGGTACGTAGACAACACTCTCCCCTCTCGTTGCTATGCATCACCATGATCTTGCGTATGCGTAAGAAAACTGTTGAAATTACTACGTTTTCCAATAGCAACCTCATCGACCACAGGAACCGCCAACATGATGAACTTAGACACCTTCAGTTGCTCACATGACTTTGGCAACACATGCTCCTCACACGAGGCCGCCGATGAGACCACCTCCAAATGCTCTACAGAGATAGGTGAACTAGGGCTAAGACATAGCTCTCGTAGCTCGGGCATGACGTGCAACACCAGAGCTTCAAGCACAACAATGGACTCGACTGAGAGTGACGATGAACCGTTCTCAACACGAGGGGATAAACATTCATATAACTCTTGCCTCCCTTCCTTCATAGAGCCAACATCTTCCACGCCAGAAGGGCATGACATCAGAATGGTCTATGACCTAGCCGGTGCAAGGAAGAGCCTGCTAAGAGTAGCCTCCGCCCGCTCGAGAAAGCTCTGTACCTGTACCAGAAAACTCTGCAACAATGTTGTCTGACCGGTCCTGGCCAGAGAGGACCGCAACATCATATCGGATGAGGTTGCTGAGCCAACGGTAACAGAGACGACAGATGCTCAAGACCTTGGAGGAGAGCACGGATTTCATTGCACCTTTACATGAAGCTAGAGCAGAATGGCGCATGGAACCGAGGAATGACGATATGGTAAGGCATGCCAAAGAACTTAAAGGACACCAAGAATTGAGGTGAGCACGGATTTCATTGCACCTTTACATGAAGCTAGAGCAGAATGGCGCATGGAACCGAGGAATGACGATATGGCAAGGCATGCCAAAGAACTTAAAGGACACCGAGGATTGCGGCATTCACATGAAGCTAGAGCAGGATGGCAGGATGGCACATGGAACCGAGGAATGGCGACATGGCAAGGCATGCCAAAGAACTTAGAGGACGCCAAGGATTGCGGCATCCACTCGCACGGTGACCATTCTCCAAGCGGCATCCACTCGCACGGTGACCATTCTCCAAGCAACGGGAGCACCGAAGCTGATCTCTACAATTGGCCGCACGATGCCCAGGAGCGAAGCATCTGCAACATCTACCGTGCAGCCAAGCAGGGATTGGACGGGGAGCCATTGCAGGGGCTAGCAACGTTGGGCGACGCGGACCACGCCGGGGCAACACCTCCTGCCATCCCTCTTTTTTGTTCTCAAGGAATAAGGAAATGAAAATTTGCACTTTTTTGTTCTCGAGCAAAGAAGGGAAATAAAGAAAAGGTACTCCTCCGATTTGGTGAAATAACATTATTACAAGAAGTTTAAGACTTGAGATAGCAGTGGAATTATTATACATTTTTACAAAAAGCTTGAGAAGACTTGACTTCAACCAAGCTAGAAGCACAAGAAACACTTCAACTAAGCTAAAAGCACTAGAACTACTGAAACTAAGAAGCGGGTAAAGCTAGAAGCACGAGAACCAGACGCTGGTACGAAGGAGAGTGCCACTTCATGCAAAAGGGCACGCTAAACTCGAGCAGCCGGCGGCCTGCACCCGCAAACCACTGGCACACGCCGCGTACGTACGCGCACGGCAGAGGCCTGCCTATGCGCCCTGCTTGTTGAGCCGCGCCGCCGCAGCCACGGACGCTGCTATCCCTCCCGGCCTCACCGTCTTGTCGTCCTTGTTTCGGGTCTCCGCCGAGGCCACCCTCGCCGCGTCGGCGGCCTCCACCTCCTTGTCCGCAACCAGCTTCGCCGTTGCATTCTGCGTGCACGCAGGTCGACCACCAGGTTGACCATCGCAGTCAGTAACATCAAAGGATTCAAGCATATGTGTACTGGTAGCGTCGATGTGCAGGACATACTACAGACATACCGAGAGCACGTCGCCGAGCTTGGCCTTCTCCTCGTCTCGCGCGGCCCAGACGTTGGCGTCGGCGGCCGACTGCGCCTGCGCGGCCAGGCCACCAGGGATATTGACGTCCAGCCCGGTGGCTCGCACTTCGGCCGCCTGGATGGCCGCTGCGTCGCTGCGCTCCACCGGCCTGCCTCCCGCCGCGTAACCTGCCGCCTCCAGCGCCTCGCCAATAGTTATCTTCGTGTCGTCGCCACCGGCTTCACCTGCATCGGCGGCATCATCAGGCGCGAGGTACTGGCCCACGGCCTGTCCGGCGACGAACTCGGTGACGATGCGCCCGCCGGGGACGCGGGTCTCGGAGACGGAGACGCCCTGCTCGGCGGTGGCGTCCGTGGCCTGGTCGTGGCCGACCACGCCCATGCGCTCGTTGCGCATGGCCGCGGACTGCATGGTGGCCGCCGGGCCGCCCTTTATCGTCTCCCCGAACACGAGGTTCTCGGCTGACTGCATCGTGGCCGCGTCCTGCGGCGCCACGGGCTTCTGCGCGAGGCCGCCGGTCACGGCCGGGAACACGTCGCCGTAGCGGACGGCGCCTCCTCCCTGTCCCTGGCCCTGCCCGCCGCCGCCCGCCTGGGCTTGGTCGGACGACGGCCTCCTCTGCTGCCCCTGGCTCATCTTGGCGAGAAGGCGTCTGGTTATCTGCCGCGTTGCCCCGAGCGTGTGTAGGGTGGCTAGGTGAGTAGTACAGCTGAATCTTGCGATCGACATGGATGGATCATGCGTGGGTATGGTGGTTATATACGGCGTGGGTGGGTGCTCACAGGGAGACAGGTGTGGGAGAGGGCGGAGACGTGGAGGCGAAGGAGGGGAGGCGCGTCGCGGCTTTGCCGTGAGGTGGCGCGCGAGGAAGCGGTGGAGGGTTGGACGGCGGAGGCAGCGTGGAGTGGCGCGCGCGTGGTCTGCAAAGCGGTGGCGCTTGTTTTTTCTTAACACACTACTAGTAAAATATATGAAAACGGATTTGCTAATTTACATGCGGATGAAAACAATTCGCCTTCATCCGTTTTCTGTGCCCTGCGATCTGTGCGTGAAGATTCGTGTGTGTGACCTGTTATTTGTCTCGTCTCACTTATCGGGCCCGTGTGGTTGACCCGTTATTTTTTCCATCGCAACCCGCGTGTCTGTGTGGTTGACACTGTCACCCTCCTCCTCCGAGCCGAACACGCAACCCCGAACAGAGTCGAGCGAGAGAGAGATAGCCATGGCGATTTGGAGCTCCGCCTCACCGCTCGATCCAGTGTTTTGGTGGTGACTCGTCCGCGCTCTCCCTCGTGCTGCCCCGCTTCCTCCGCCTCCCTTCTGTTCCTGCCGGCGGGATCTGCGGCATCTCTCGGCCACGCACCGATCCGTCCCCATTTTCATCGCTGGCGATTTTGTTCGTCGGATTCAGTCCCC